TAGGGAAAAACAAATGTCGATGTTTGCATGAGTATCCTTTTACTTTCCTAAATAAACCCATTAATTTTGGAATTTCTTATGGCTTTCAAGTGAGAAATATTTTTAAGGGTATGAAAAGCATACTGTGAAGGACTTTTTTATCTTCAAGCTTTATTAGAAGTGGTTATTTAGGGGAAATTGTTCTGTTCCTGTTTTCTATTGGAGTCTAGGAAATGTTTAGAGATAAAACATAGTGTGATTTAAAAGTTGGAAATAAACAAAATAGACCCATTTGGTTGGGGTTTAATTTTAAACTAGTAATCATTAATTTAAAAACTGCCTGATATGTTTCAGAGCTTGATCATAAGCATACAAATACACCTCTCTCAAGAAAAATAAATGCCTCATTTTATTTGAGAGTGCTATTAGTTCCAGTGGCTGCATTGCTGAGGATGTATTTGTATGCTTTATAGCAATCTCTTAAAATCATTGCCATGTTTCCTGCAAATATTTTGATACCAAATAAAGAAGGAGGTCAGCTCCTTCTTTATTTTACCTATCTATGCCATTGTCCCCATTTTACCTCCAGAATGATTTAGGTTTCACCCTCTTGAATATATTACCACTTGGCTATCAGATTTTCCTTTGCAGTATGTTTCCAGCATGCTTCTTTGCAATTTTCCTTCGACAGAAAAGCATGTACATGTATTGCTTACGGTAGTGGTAATTCCCCATATAACTAGGTATGATGTTGACTGTTTCATGTTAAATCATATTTTGATCTGCCTTTGCTTGTCTTAAGACCAAGGCCAACTCAGAAATTGGTTGAAGCAGTGATTCTCAACCCAGGGTGCCAGAGGGTTAAGATCTTTTCAGGGGATGCTATGTTAGCACCGGTAGGCGTGTAAGTTCACTAGAATAAAACCAGCATTTTTCATGTCTTGAGCCTAAAATGGTTGAGAACCACTGGGTGACAGCTGTTCTATCTTGTGCATTATAATTGCAAATCTTGTGAGTGTAGTTTTAAGCTAATACTAGGGAAACCTAGAACTTTTGCATTAATTTTCCCTTTAATCGTAACATCAGCCCCCATTTTTCCCACTGGAAGAAATAAGTTTCTTCATTTTAAATATTCTTCTGTCCTGTGAACCTGAATTTAAATGGAGTCTTTTATTGCAGTAAACAGGGTGAAATGGATTAATACAAACAGCATAAATGCTGAAAGGCAATTTTTGGTTTTTAACTGCCAGTTGTATTGATATTGGATGTTAAAAATAAAATACACTATTTATTCAAATCCAAGACAAGGGTTTTTTACTTATTCAGCATGAGGTTGAGGGCCTATCATCTTAGATTCAAGTACAAGGTGGATGGGGCAGCAGGAAGTACAGGCACCAGGTTGGGGGGAAGAGGTGCAGGCACCTCAGGGGTGGGGAGGCCAGGACTGGTGTGTGCTGGCACCAGGAGAGGTCATAGGCAGGGGTGGGGACAAGTGTATGGAGGGATGGGACTGCAGACCTGGGGTGGGGATCCTGGTTTTCTCTGACTTAAAAGAAAATCCCCAATTTTCAAATTTAAAAAACCCAAAATCCACATTTTTCCATAATTAAAATGAAACGCCACTAATATGTAAATATATATATTAGTGATGTTTCATTTTGATCATGGAAAAATGTGGATTTTGGGTTACTTTTTTATTATGAAAATTGGTGGTTTATTTGTTTGTTGTTAGAGAAAACCAGGATCCCTGCTGCTCAGGAGAAGTTAAATTACTTTCCCAAAGCTACTTAAAAAACTTGTTACAGAAAATAAATTAACATTCAGTGGTTCCTGACTTCTAGTCTTATTCCCCAATTCTTAAATTCACTTTCTTAGACTCCTAGCATGCATTACAGTCAAGCAGCAATTAACTAGTTAATCGCACCATAAATAGTAACTCTGACACATTTTCAAGGAATTAATCCTCCATAAAAGATATGTAACACTTTTGTGGCTAGTTTCCATCACAGCTTAAATTGAACATAATGGCAGGGTAACCAGTGCTGGCTGAAGACTGCATTGTGGTCCTGGGACTGGAACAATCAGCTGATTTTTGGTCTTTGCCCCAGGACCACACAGCAGTCTTAAAGCAGCTCCAGTGTGGTTCTGGGGCTCAGACTGACAATCAGTGGACTGCCAGTCCTAGGCACAGGCTGCTGGTACCCAGCTTTCAACTTGCTGATGCAGGAGGATCCCAGGTTCCCCTTGTGCTGGTAAGTAGTAATGGCACTCTTAGAATCTGATCCCATTATTGCATTTTCTGCCATGCAATTGTTGGGATTGGGAATCAGATCCCATCTTGTCAGTAAATGAACCTGTGCTAGCTGCCTTAGTAAGCACCAGTTAAAAAATCACAGGTTTTGCATAAATAAATACATATATGTAAATACATAAACGTGTATTATGTGAGGTATAACTGTATCTCTTATATTGAGGCTTTACTTTACTTTAAACTGTAAATAACTTACTATTTTACCTACTCTTAAAACTTTGCACACCTTCTGTAATTGAAAAACAAGATGAGCTTAGTTGCTTGGTTATTGCATATACAGAGGTGTGTTGAAATATTTCCACAATCGTATTACTAACTTATCTCTGTAGATAGTGTTTTACACTTTCTAATTTTTTTCTTTCTACTTTAACCATCTTATCAATTTGTAATTCTAGTTAAAATTACAAGGCTGCTTGCAAACATTAACCCCCCCCCCCCCCAAAAAAAAAAAAAAACCCCAAACAAAAACCCAACAGCACTTTAAACTCCATGTATTCCTGCACTGAGCCCAGCCCATGCCCAGAAGAAGCATTGTGCTTATTGGAACCAGCTCACCCAACATCTGTATAGATCAGGTGCTTTAGTGGGGCTTTAATAGCACTTTTATCTAATAGCTGATTGAATCAGCTTGAGATAAATAAAGCGCCAAAAAGCCCCACTGAAGCGCCCAATCCATACAGATGCTGCAGAGCCGGGTCTAAGTAATGCATTACTGCTTCTGGTAAAGTGCAGGGTTTTTTGGGTTTTTTGTTTTTTAAACATCTGCAAACAGCCTAAATTAATACTGTTTATGAAACTGAAGTACTGCAACAAAGCAGATCATAGCCAAAATTTGCAAATGTGCATATACTTGGGCCCTGGGAAAATAACTCATTTGAGTTTGGAAGCTACCTGTTTTCACAGCATTTGCATTTAAAAATCGTGTCCCATCTCTCAATGCAGGGAGCTGGATAGGAAATGTTTTGTTTTTCCCATTTTGTGAAACATTTAAACAATTTTTCCAACCCAAATTGGAAGAAAAAACAGCTATTTGGAGGGTCAATAGAAAGAAGGTTGTTTCAGCAGTTTTCAAAGCTTATTATTCTGATATGGGTTGTTTTATTTTATTTCTAAGTAATTTCAGATTGTGAAATTGGAAGTTTTTGCTTTGAAAGTTATGTCCTGTTTTGGCGATTTTGATTTCCTCTTTCCCCCCCCCCCCCCCCCCCCCCCCCCCCCCTGGAAAAACATCAAAAATTTTTAGTTCTCCATGATGCATTGTTTAATTTCTTTTCTTTTTAGCTTCAGGTGCATCTAGAAGACCTTGGGTGCTAGGAAAGGTAATGGAAAAGGAGTATTGCCAGGCAAAAAAGGTAAGGAGCTCTTAAACACATGAACTAATAATTTCAGTAGAGAAATAGAGCCAAATTTTGCCCCACATACAGTCATGCACATGTACCTTGTTGAAATAAATACGTATTATATGCAAGTGTGGCAGAAAGTAGCCCATAGCTCTTGTAATTGATTGGAGACTTGGAGATGTCTCCCAGAGCGTGCAAAAATGTATGAATTAGAAGTTTTATGAATGTGTTTAAAATAGGGATTTAGGGAAGTAGTTAGACTTACATAATTTTGCCAACACAGATAGTACATGTATGAGTTATTTTGAAAATAATGCATGAATGTGTTGGAAACTATTATTCATTTCTAAATAGTTTTGATTTCTGAGCAATTGCTGCTTTACAGAGCCTAAGAGAGCTAATTAATGTAGGAGTAAAGAGCATCCCCTGTTATGTAATGCATACCTTTATTAATTGTGATCAACAAATGGTATTGGTGGCCATTTTGAATAATTAGTATTGCCAAATCAGTTTTCAGATACCAGTTGAAAAAAGGTATAAGAGGATGAAAATCTGGTCATGCTCTGAAAAATGTTAGTGAAAACAGAACACATATTTTAAAATGCTTTTAGATGTAATTTGTATCAATTCTTGCTGGTTCTTTCAGGCACAAAACAGATTTAAAGTTCCTTTGGGTACAAAATTCTACAGAGTGAAAGCAGTGCCATGGAACAAGAAAGTATAACCCAGTGGAAACTCAGTTCTTTGTCTCATTCTTTTCAGACGTGTCCTTCAGTGCTCATTCATCACTACAAATACCATGCCATCTTTTTTATACTGAGGTCATGTGACAATAAACTTCACTGACGTACTACTTTTACTTTTTAACGGGTTACATTTTAGAAACAAGAATTTCATCAAAATACCTGGCCCTAACTGTTCCAATTTTTTCACCCAGATAACTTTAGTACTGTGGACCAAATGAGTTCATTTTCTCAAAGGGCAACCCTGTACATCATGGCTTATTATTAGCCATGTTAATTGCCTGTTAAATATACATTAGCTCGTATTTAGATGTTCAATGTTAGTTACCATTATTACCAGCATATGTCCCTTTGTGAAATCATTATCAAAGTACTTGCACTCTTTAACAGATTCTTTATAATATGTATAAATTCAACTATTTAAGAAGAGTGTTCATTGCATGCCGATAATCATATAATTTTTCTTCAACATGAGTTTGCCTCTGTAGATGCATAAAGATAACTACTGCAAGTTGTTTCATTACCTTAAAATGCTCTTTAATGTTAAAAAAAAAAAAAAAAAAAAAAAAGAAGAAGAAGAAGAAAACCTTGTAATTTGATGGGCTGATACAGAAATCAGTCAAGGTAAATCTGCAATCTTCAAAAGCACTTTCAATGGATTGATCACACAGATTCTGAAGGGAAGAACCCTTGTGCTGTTGGATTTGAATTGAAGCACTTGAAACTTCCCAACAAAACAGAAGTCTTGTATTAATCTATTTAGAAAAATCATATTGATGAAATTGTATTTCATGGTTGAGTTTCAGGAAAAATCTCCATTGTACATTAACCATACAAGAGTCATTTAAGTAACAAATTATTGTAATTGTAAAAGACGTAGAATTTTAAAACAATAAAGATTTGAACCTGTATATGTTTGAATAGTTTTGTGCACCCTCTAAATGTCAGTTTTGTGCAAGTTAGAAAAGCAGTGATCTGTCAGTTCTTAGTCTGCCATAGATTATTACTCTTATACATTTACATTGATTAGAAATTACATTGTTTTCCCCAAACATTGTGTATTTTTCAGTATATAGACAGGTTCCTCCTGTAACTAGAAGTAAAACTGAAATAAGTGTCAATTCATATCGTGTCAGCAAACAAGCCAAACAGGCAGATTTATTCTTATGAACTCCTATGCTGAAGCAATACCATTGTTACACAATTCTAAGAAAAATGTGCCAAGTGTGGCATTCTCATTGTTCCCCTCAACCAGGTATATACCAAGATAATCAAAGGTAATATTTCATTCCCATTGATCTACATTATTATATAAAAGCTCCTAGATATGTTTTCTACTTAAAATGTTGTGACATCAAGTACCAATTATGGATTAAATGTCATTATTTTTATCACAAAGTTGAAGATTTTAGAAGGCCTTCACATAAATATGAATTGCTTTTCATATTTTATGTGGCAAATTGCAAACCATACATGGGAAAAGAATACTCTAAAATTGTGACAGTTTCTCCCTGAAAATCGAATTGGTGGCAGTTGTTAAATAAAAGCCCATTTAACGATTACAGTGACCTCTAAGCAGAAACATGGGTTCTTCAGCAGAAATATTTCAGTAGGTTTATTGTGGTAAAAATAAGTAAATGCCAGTATAAAAGTGTAGTGTTCAAGTCTGAATTCATAATTTGATTTTAATTTTCATTTCCTAGCCTACTTTTTGTCTTCAATTAAGTTCAAAGTTCACCAGGCTTGACCATGTTGCTATTCCCACAAGTTTAATTCCTTGGAGAAAAATCCTCAACCAGCAGCAGTTACATAGCTTCTCTACAGCCACCAAGCACTGATCCATGGTAGAATATGAGGTTCTACAGCCCAGTAGAAATACAGATGAGTAGAAAACTTTCCAATGTCTCCTTTGAAAATGAAGCACCCATTTGACTGCAGGACACTCATTTAGGTCCAAGAGACGACAGTGTGTTCCTGCCATACAAGTGCATGAGTCTTTTCAAGCTATGTCAAAATTAGAAATTTTGAGGGGTTCTCAGTCTGTCAATTACCAGTCCCCTGTATCTCTTGTCACTCCACACACATTCTTCATGAGGGTAATTACTGGGTTCCTCAGCATAGGAGGACACTTAGCTACATAAAATTAAACAGACATGGCAAACTTTGGTATTTCTGCACTAACCTGAATAAACCCACTTAGGAAGAAGAGGTTTGCATTAATTCTTTGTTCTGGTCTTAGCCAGGTAGCTGACTTTTTCACTTGACCATGCCCTTAATTCACTGACAAGATAGCTTGGCAAAGTTTATTAATAATCGAACGTACAGACGGGAAAAAAATAATGACGTTGTGAAAGTTGGCTTTTGATTTCCTTGATGCATCTTATATTTTAAGATTTGTAGTTAATTGGTTTTCTACTGTGAGACTAGCTGATAAGTGATAGTCAATCTGTAATAATTGTTCAAAGCTTGGGGTCAGGAGGACATTTTGAATATAAGGAATAAACCTGTTAAATATTTAAAGAAATAAAAAGTACTGTAATTAATAATCAGAAATGCAGACTGTAACGGGGAAAAAACCTTCATTGATATCAGCCTAGTATTAAAAAACAGCAGGATGTATACTATTATTGCTATATGCAGTCATACTTCTAAAATATAAACAATCGGCAGTAGCTTTCGTTTTTTAGGAATATGTCATGTGCTTCATTTTATAATCTTTATGTATATTTAAAATGGAAATTCTGTCAAACATATTCAGTAATGATTCTGAACAGCCATTGAAAAAAATGTAGTTTACATACTTGTTAGATGGCGCAGCCTTACTAACTCCTGCAAGTATGTTTGTTATGCACCACCTTTGTGTTTAATCTTGCCCCACAAAAATGAAGCCTTGTATATACTGTTACAATCTGGGTAATCAGTATATGCACAGGGAGGTAGATAAACTAATTGTATAATTAGTCCATTTCTATTTTTGCTTGTGATTCTGTTTATACTTGCATCACTTCGAGCCACAGCTTTGGAGCAGGGTGTGAGGGGAGTTGATAAAATATGCTAAAGCATGTACGTTCTTTGAATTATCCAGTCTTGCCTTTGAATCATGGTGATTCAGTTGTACCAGCAAGAAAATTAAGAAAGGTTTGAACCCAAAGAGTGTGCAAAAGGGCTTTTCAGTGTTTTTGAAGAGGATACATATATTGGACTACTAAAACTAGTTAATGAGAGCTGTTAGGCTAACACCAATCCAGTACACATTTCAAAACTGATAAAGAATTTAACAGAATGGAATTTAAGATCAGTAGTAGAAGAGGCAGCATCTTTTTTGGCAAATTTAATTGATGTAAAATGCGATTTGGGATCAGCTAAAACTTTTGGGGTCAGCCAATTCAGATCAAATTCAGCATATATTTTTGGACCTATAAGTGGGGGAAAAACAGAAACATTAAAACTATTTATGTTGGCATTTCTTAATGAGTTGTTCAGGTGTCTTACCAACTGGAGGTGGAGGAGATAATGGTTTTGCTAACGGTGTCTGCCTACTATTTTGTAATGTAGCACTCATTTTGAGTAAGATAATAGTGCTCCAGGCTGTGCCTGAGGATTATTTAATTACTATTGCATAGAAGATCTTCAGTAGAAGAGACTCACTTAAGAATGCCCTCTAGTCTAGTGGTTAGGAGTGTCTGCCAGCTGAAGAGAGATTTAAACTTGAAATCACTACTCTGAATCAGACCTTTTCAGGTTGACTTTTTTTTTTTTTTTTTTTTAAGCTTTTCAGAGTGGCTGCTCAACTAATCAATTAGTTATTTTCACAGCTCAATAGAACTTTTTGTTTTAAGCTGTCTTTATGCTTTCCCAGACCAAGGAAGTGGTAGGTATTGTTTTAGGCAGGCCTTAAGTTTTGGACCAGTATTGTCCAGGGGCATTATTAGCAAAGCTTAATGTGTTCTAGTTAAATTCTTGTTCTAGGTAGCCAGAGATATGATCATAGAGCCAACTCCCTATTCTAGCCAAGGATTTCTCTGATCAAGTAATGCTTAAATGCCCATTTAAGAGAGACCTATGCTTTCTGCACCGATGTGGTTAATTTGGGCTTAAAGCATAAAGCAGGATCTTGCTGTGTACAGGAATTGACCACATGGCAGTCTGGATGCACCAGGAAAGCCTAATTCTTGAAGCCTAAGGCAGAATATAGAAAACCACATGGATGCAACAAGTGCAGCTAGCTTTCCCTCAAACATAGCCATTTCTTGTGGGTGTAAAGGTGGGCATCAAGACCTGCCTTCTTGTCATCCAGGGAAGCTTTTGGCAGTGGGAGCCACCTTCTGATATCCACCACTCCAGAGTTTGGAAAGTCCCTCCGTATGTCCCACTCTCCTGTGTGGGGAAGGGGAGGCATTTTCCTGAAAAAGTGAATGTCTAGGTAGTGCCGTATTAGCAACGAAGTTGAGCCACCAAGTACTTCATAGTGTTCTTTCAACCTTGTGGGGTTTTTATTTAATAAGGACTAATAAAGGCTTTTTAGCAATTCACAGTTCTTGGCACCAATGTGTTTAACATGAACTAATGTCTCCTGTTCAGACCATGTTTGGATATTAAGCTTTCGTGATACTTCCCATGCCATATTTCACTTTCATTGATGTTTTTATATCCTCTTACAAGCCAGTCTGCAGTACCAGAACAATGACGATAAATTACAGTAAGTGGCAAATGATTACTTCCTTTACTATCCATTGTAATTAAATTACTCACAATGTGCATTAACAGCATCCATGTATAATCCTTTAGGAATTCTATTGTCATTTCCATATTGCAATTATTAGTTGGTTAATAACTGTTTCCTTTTATTTCAACACGTAAGCAGTGCTATATTTAGGTACTTTAAAATTTTTCTCTTGCAAACTTGCAACAATTCTATTTAGGAGTATTTACTAATTCCCCTGAAAAATAAGTTTCAAGTAGCATACTCTTTTTCTCAACAAAAACTGCTTCTGTGAGGAAGTTTTCAAATTTTGTATTTTCTAAAATCCATTTCATTATCATGGCTTAATGTTAGCGTTTAACACATTTCCATTATGAAATGACTTTTGAACTTCAAATAAGATGAATCATTGTGACTGGCTGCCGGAAGAGGTGTCATTACTATGTCTATTCCTAGCATACACATTGAGTTTATTTTCATTATTTAGATGTTCTGACAAGTTCCATTTCATAGTAACAACAAAACCCTCCAGGCATTGCATTTATGGAAAATTATTGCACTGCTCTGTAGTTGGTTAATACCTTTTGTCTTGTGCCTTATGACACTAACCAAGGCAGCCATGCTATAATTCTTCAGCAACTGCTTGTCTTGTCTTATTATTTAATTTGCCTTTCATCTATCTATCTCAAAAGACTTCTCTCAGATGTAGTTCACTGTGATCCAGTTTTCATTTGGTTTTGTCTCAATTTTTGAGTAAGAAAGCGAATAGATTTTTTCCATCCTGCATGAGACCATGTAGAGTGACTATACATACATATGTCCTTATATACGTGCATTTTAGAGCATTCTTGGACTACCTAATGGGCCCACCTGCATTCAAATACACTACAATTGAGTTTTGTTCATCAGCTTTGTGAGGAACCAGGGTAGAGCAAAATTAGAAAGAGGAAAATACATCATTTTGTCATCACTTCAGGTAGAAAACAACTTCAAAATTACAATAAATGTGCTCCTGTAACCAAAGGATTTCTGTCAGAAAATGACATCCTTGAGCTTTCCAGTGTAATAGCCCCTGCATCAGACTAGTAAGATGATAGGAAAACATCTTCTAAACAGTTCTTTTTTCCTGAAGCTGTGTAATATTTACAGATCTCATAAAACATTAAAGATTATGGGTTCCTAGATGAAGTTGAATTAATATCCATTACAAGCTTTTCTTTTGTATCGGAGTTAACAAAAATAGTTTCTGATGATGTAGGAAGTTGTTGATTTCTTCCAGATATTTTTCAGGTAGTCAGGAGTCTTGTCTTGTGTATACTGTCTTTATATTTTACTCTAAACTTGAAAGACAAAGTATTAGTGTAAATCAAAGCTAATCCCTTTTAAATTGACTATGAAGAATGACACCTAATAAAATTCCAGGTTGAAAGTATATTCCTCTGAGAGCATCTTATTTGTAGGCTTTTGGATATTGTTTTGCTAATTAAAAGTATTTTTCTTAATATCTTTGACAAATCAGAGTGCATGGAAGAAATGGAACAGTATGCAGTTGTAAAGACATTCAATCTGTGTAATGATTAAGCAGTAAAATGCTTTTGGTTTGTCCATTTGAATT